GAGAAGGAAAAAGTATATCAACATTAGGCTCATTTTGAGCTCGCAATAAATAATGTAAATTGGGGTCGAGAAAATGTAAGTTTATATGAATTAAGCCCAAATTATTTCAATTCAAAGAAACATGATTAATATGAGTGTGTTTGGTAGAGATTAAAATCGAATTAAAATTGAAAAATTAGCCGTTATTGTTGAATTTTATTAGACTAGTGGGACTCAATAACAGCTATATTTTCAATTTTAATTGGATTTTAATTCCTTCCAAACAAGCTCTATGTATTATTTTATTCTGTAAAAATGTATCTTTTAAGATAATTAGGAAAAAAATTATCACAATTATCTTTACTTTAAAAATGTATTAACCATGTTAAATTCTGTTACAAAATTTAGATTAACTAACATAGTTTTATCCGGTGTGTATATATATATTACAGTTTTTGGGAAAAGTAAAATAGTTATAAATATGGTTAATGACATTAATTATAATTATCCAAGTTCAATTAAGTTTATTACCAAGTTATTCAATTCAACTAGGATATTTTGACAGTTGATGATATAAATATTAAGTTTATCTCAAACTAATTGGGTTTATCACCATGCAATTATACAATTGAATTTCTTCCTAGATATGACCATTTGTTTTAAATAGGATTAACTTTTACTAATTAGATAAAGACTACTTTGTAGTAAAAAAGAAGGGAGTTTGATTATTTATTTATTCAAGGGAGATTTTTTCTAATTGGCCTAGTCAATTAGCCTATTTATAAAACAAGCTAAAAAGTCTATTTTACCCTTAGTGAAATGAATTCTTTGATTTTGCATAATATATCCTTCTTTTTATTATAAATTTGAAAATCAGTCTTATCTTATATTTCTTTTATTTCTAATTTTAATATATAGTTTCATTCTATGATCTAACATATTAGAGTAATATGTAATATATTTATTATGTTCTTTGTTAAGTTTCTCATATTTTTCAGATAATATATTCATATATTTCTTTTTTATCTATGAAATTTTTTACTTTTTCAAACATTTTGTCTAATAATTTATATAATCCTTCTATAGTATATCATGGCATTTTAATAATCAAACTGATAACAAAACATACATCATAACAAACATTAATATGAATAATCCCTACGATTCTTTTAAAATCTAAGAAAAATTATTTTCAAATTTAACAAAACTAATAGTTTTACCTTAGTTTTGATCTTATGCTTTTAATCTTAGAATCGAGTGACTTTCAAGTTTCTGGATCTACAAACAACTCCCTTCAATGGCCTCTTACTTTCACAGGATCCTTGATATTTCAGCTTTTGCTCTTTCTGTATCTTTTCTAGGAATTAAAACTATAGATCATTAATAAGGAAAATTCTCTTTTTGTTAAAGTAAGAATCTATAGGATAAGTGGTTTTAAAACTCATATTTTTTCTGAAAGAATTTGAATATTATTGATATAATTGAGATTGATATATGATCAGTAAAGAAAGACAGAAAAACTTGGCTATCTCACAATCTAAGTGCTTAGTTCCTTCAACTCTTCCAACCCTGGAGCCTCTATTTATACAATCACATGAAACTTAATAATTTAGCTTCTTACATCATACTCTAATTATAGAGTTTTATTTTTTCAAAAGTCTAACCACTACATTATCGTGGTTCCATTATTGTATTAAACAATCAACTTTATATCACATCTTCTCTATCAAGGGCACTACCCTTCTATTATTGTCCTATTGATATACGGCTGGCAAGATTCTTTGGTAGAGGTAGGACCTCCCAACTCTATTTTCTTGGAATCTTTTGTATCTTTCTTTCAATTCTGTCGGCATGTGGGGCATTCCCTTAATCTGCATGCACCTGGATTGTTGTAGTACTTCCATTAATTTGATGAGTATCAAACTTTTGGATGTATTCCTTTAGAATTGTAGACTTTTCTTTTTCATTATTTGTTAAGAGTGCCCATCCTTTATATTAGCATAGGCATCTGAACTTCTTTTCATATAAGTTCTTTGCCATATCGTAAAGGACCTTCATTCCCAAAATTCTTCGGGGATTTAATCAATGATCTTGTAATTTTTGGTAATGGTTTATTATTCTGTCCGACTTCAATTTGGAAATCTCGGCCTACATATCCGATTGTGATAATATGTTCTGCAGGATAGTATATCATTCCATCAACCTCTAAACTAATTGAATAAAATTTGATATATATTGATCTTCCCTGGGCAAAATTTTGAGACTTCTGATTTACATATATCAACAAATTTTTCGATTCCTTTTAAGTCTTTTCCTGGATAGATTAGATCCAGAAATCCATAATCTGCTGCCATTTTTACTGTAAGAGGGTCTGCATCTTTGGCAATTATCAATCTTGGGTAAACATAATCTCCTGGTGAAATGAAATAGGAATCATTTTCTCCCAATTCATAGACTATCTTGGCAAAAAATTTATATTCTTCTTCTTTTGATGATAAAGGGGTATCATCATTTTCGTCGGTTCTAATTCTGATCACTTTTGTATGTTCATCTTCATTTTTTGTTGTCACCTTTCGGGGACTTGGCATGATCATATCTCTTTTTATTTGGTTTGGTCTACTGCTACTTCTGCTTGGTATACCTGTTTGTATTTTTGGTATTATACCTGTTGTATTTTTGGTATTGTACATGTTTGTAATCCCTGTTTGGTATTCAACAACTCCTCAACAAGGAATTTCATTCACCGTTTGGCGTTTGTCAATGAATTTTTGATATCATCAATCTCCAAATTCAATATTCATGCTTAGGAAATTTGCAAGATAATTGTTTATACCTTTAATATGAATAATATCAA